ACTTCTTTCATCCATGATAGAAGAAAGCTGTCCCAGTATAATGAAACTTGACCTCCAGAAGGTTCTTAACATCCAAGAGATTAACAACAACCAATTTCCTAATTGGAAAGAGAGGAAGTGGGCGAACCCAGTGTCTGTTTGAAGGTGCCAAACCATGGCTTAGGCAGGATGATTTTCCCCCAGCTCCCAGAGTTCTCAAACCCACCAAAGATCACTAATTTGCTGTGTCTTTATGGGCCAGCCTCTGTAGAGAGCAAACTTGTGGTAGGGAAGCAAACTTGATCCAGAGAGGAGTTCCGAGGAATTGATCCATTCACTGGCTCCTCTTTACACCACGGAGCCATCTTCAGTTCACCATTGCTTCCCCGGAAGTCCAATTTCTTTGAACTTCTCAATCTAGTCTACATCCCTTGAATTCTCAAACAATCCCTCCATCCAAGTCCTAACCAGGGAGCTCAATGCTTGAGCTTTCAGAGAAGGTTAGTTAGGTGCTCATATCTGCAAATATTAGCATATTTCTAATATCTAGTACAATCTTGGAACCACCAAACTACTAAGAGAATGTTTAAATTATGCACACCTAAATTCTGCAATAACTCCATCGCACGTTATATGGACAGATGTATGTTTAGAAAGATTTGAAGTGGATACTAAGAATAACATATCAGGGTTTTTTTTTTTATTGAATTAAGAATGTCAATTGGATAAAGCATTCTCCTTATCTCCATTCCAGTTAGAAATTAATATACTTATATTATCTTAATAGTGACATTCTAGCATCACAGCTAAATTCATTCAGAATAATTGTCATTTTTAATGACACCTGGAAGAAAATGTCATCGCTTGTACAATGTGAACATTGTTCCTGTCTCCTTACAATACATACCCTCCCATAATTCTCCCTATACGGTTGTTTTCCAGCACCCTTTCTCTCCCTAACCCTGCCTCTTATTCAATTATAATGCTTGAATGAGTCACATGCAATATTTCCAGGCTACTTTTCCTTGCTCATGAAACTTTTTAACGAAATGTTAGCATTCGCAGACACCAGATGTTTTGACATAAGGAGAAGCAATATGCAAATTTTAATCCATGCTAGGAACAATAGCCTGCAGGCACCTTTTTCTTATTACATGAATCATATACTTAACCACAGTGTGGTGGATTCTATCAGAATCCTTGCTATCCTGAGCATTCGACACTTGTCTTGTAGTTGCCAATTAATGAAACTGATGTATATTTAAGTGGATGGGTATCAGTGATTTACCAACACTGCTTGGCACACTTCACAACTGGTGCATCCTTGATTAGGCTGGCAGACCTGACACTGATTAGCATCAAAACTCCACAAGTTTGCTTCTAATCGACATTGTCTGTCCATACAAATGATGCTGACACTGAATTTGATTGGAAGTCTTTTGCTAATGTCATTGTCCCTAATTAAGTAGATGGCAGACCGTGTTTTTGTAATCTGTATATTGTGATTCCATTTTCTCATGCTATTTAACTCTGAGTGACCCAACTCTGCTATGTACGTTCTGTGGCTTCAAACCCACCAAAGCTTTATATCATCAGCTCCCATGTCAAATTTCCTTTTCTAGTTCATCAAATTCAAAATTAATTGAATTACAAGTGTTAATTAGTCCCACTGTGTACAACACAATAATTAAAAGAGTTATAATTAAATAAGTCCAAAGCAAATAAATCTGTATGTATAGACTCACACATACGCATGTTAAATGGCTTTTTTAAAGACTGAATTTTAAAATATGCAAGACTGCTACAAAGCTATTGCTAAAATTGTACTCCTGTTTTATCACAGTGCACCATTCTATCATATGTATAATCTAGTAAATATATTCTAGAAAAGCACACACTTAGTATTGGGAATTTTAAATGCTAAAATCCCTTTTTAAATTCAGGAAACACGGATATCCTTTGAATGACACAATGTTGTGTAATTATCAGTTATTTCCAATTTACTGCTTGCTGAGATATAAAATTCTATTTCTCTTTAACTGGCTGAGGAGGAAGTGCTAATATACTTAAAAGGGTTGGTATAGCTTCTTTATTAATTATTTGATACCATCTTGCCTACCAGCAATTACTACAGCATTTTAAATTGTTTCCAAACTTTAAGAACACAAATAAACAAATAAAAAAAGAGGATTGTATTAAGTACATAGTAGGGGAACAACATGACCATGATGTTTTAGAATGGCATTGTGTATCTATTGTTCAGCATAATCTCTGCAAGTCAACATGCTTAGCTGGTATTATAATGTCTCACTGGATATGTTGCTTACTGCCAGCCTGACTTCATGCAAGTTATAGAAAGATCTATTTTACCTTAAGGTTGTAATTGCATACTTTAAATAAATAAAATATCACCCTATATTAAAACTACTTTAATAAAGATTGAATCAGAGTTGGTAAAAAAGCATGTTCTTTTGCATGCAGTTGCTTAAAAAACAAGTGATTGCATTCATGTTAAAAAATAGTAATTGTTATAAAAATGACTCTACAGTAAATGCAAATGATCTACAAGACTTCACATATTTTTAAATTACAATAATTTCTTTTTTATATATACAGCCCTATAACAATCACATGTTCTATAATAATGTTCTTATTAAGATTAAGTGATGAAATTATTGTCAACCATTTACAATATATTATAAAGCCACAGCATTCTTCTTCTTCTTCTTTCTTTTTCATGTTTTCAGTTTTTTCTAGAATTTTTACCTCTGCTGTAAGATAACTTAGGGCTTTGGCTTGTATTTTATCTGATGAGTATCTACATCTACTTCATGAATTAAATAAGAGTAATATTTCAATTCTTTTTTTTTTTTTTTGGCTTAATGATAACTTTACTGTTCATCCTGATTGAAGGAATAAGAGAATCTTGAATATCTCTTACTAGAAAAAAGAGATAGAAAAATGCCCAAACCTCCTGCTCCAATAACTAATCTAGTTGTAAGTTCTTAGGACTTCCACCACATGAAAAAGCACATGCCTGTTACTGAGACTTGATTAAGTTCTTTTGGAAGCTTTTGGGACATTTTTCAGACATATTTGAGGAAGTATTCAAATATTATTTTGGCCTACCTCCCTTTCCCATGTATAAAAACATAGTAAGAAGGAAAATCCTATCTCCTTTGCATAAAGAGCACGATAAAGATCTTCCAATACTTGATCTTATGATATTTCAAATATTAGTGAAAAATAAAGGCACTTCATGTAAAGAAGACCTTAGTGCAATTTGCACAGCACTGTGTGGGTGTGTGTGAGAGAGAGAGAATGAGAGAGAAACTGGGGCATAACATGAATGTAAAATACACACATTTCTTTTTTAAAATATTCAAATTAAGATTTAAAGCAGGGATGCATGCATATTGTAACATCATCAGTAGAATTATACTGTGGATGAAGATTCAGGATTTTCTAAAAAAACCAAGGAGTATTAAGCACCTATATAGAATCTAACTTAGGAAATAGTATAATCTATTTAATGTCAATGTATTCATTAGGAAAGTGTCCAGCAGAAGGTTATTCTGAAACTGTCTAGATTCTTTAGGAGCACTACTTTGTTATATTCTATGTTTTTTGTATCAAAATTTCATGCTACTCTCCAGGATCTCATAGATCCAAAAATGATGCAAGTAACCCACAACCTCTTACTGCTAAACCTCTCTTACTTCATCAATCTATATATGTTTTGTGGAAGTCCATATCCTAATTTTCAAATGTTATTCCAAGGTCAACTGTCTGGATGGTAAATCTTGACTAATAAAATATATATATTTTTTCTTTTCTGTAGTATGAAATTGCACATCCACGCTACCACAGGATTCCTCTTACAAAAGTTTCTGTACAAAATGCTAGATAGTAACAAGTTTTTATACCATTCTAAATATATTGGAAGTAAAATTAGAGCATGCTGCATTTCTTACAGATAATATAAGATATTACTGTATTTGTAATAGATATTTCAGTACTGTGATTAGTGACTGCAGGAAGAAGCCAAAGGATTTCTAAAATAAACAGATGCTTTTTGTGTAGAATATATAACACTGCAGTGGCAAGATTCTGCATTCTCTTTGACCTTCATCCCTATCTATGCATTTTTCCTTTTTCATATCTACCACTGGTATTTCACTTCAAATAATACAATGAATTCCACAACATTTCTCCTGACTATAATGGGGAATAGTTTACACCAGCTATGTACCTATAGTACCATTTCTCCATTCAAATAAAATATCCATTCTTCAGTGATTTGGAACAATTAATGTTAATAATTGCCTTTTATAGAACTTAAGTATTAGGCTGCACCAATCTAATCCTTTGTTTACAGTATATGGCCTATTCAGACTTTGTGAAACCACTGGGTAATTTTATTCCGAAAATGCTCAGGGATAATGCTACACCTCCATTCAGAATTGTTTTAAGGGGAATTATGGTGTTTCAATATCCAATTTGTAACCCTACAATTCACCTTAGAGTGCTATTGCTGGGCACTATACCTTGTTCATGGGGAATGGGGCAGTTCCAGAATACGAAGAGGGCTATAAGTTCTCCCACATGCAACACAGTTTTATATCCCCTATGCACACTTTTCAAGCTGTTAGGTTTGGGACTCCTTCTGATTCAGTCCTAATGAACAAATAATTTATATTGCTAAGAAGTGTTTTCAAGAGCAATGTTAAGAATTCCAGGATGTGAGGTACTTTCTCTGGACCTGAATCTTCATGAGCTATTCTGGAATGGGGTATGATCTGTAGAATAACTTCTTGAAGTTGCCAGGCTGTGGATTACAAATTGGATATTGAAACACCATAATTCCCCTTAAAATAATTCTGAATGAAGGTGTAGCATTATCCCAATGCATGGACTAGGCAATCAAATATACGTACTTTAGGGTGCTGCTTCTCAGTCTCAATAGTTCAAGCACCCTAAAATGGAAAACATATCCTCTAATTTTAGATTCACATGTAACTGGCTACCCTTGATCCCAACATTCTGTAATAACAACCCACTTCTGTATCTGAAAGCTATATAATACTGGAGTCCCATCACTTCCAAACAAAGGCATTGTGGAAATGGTAAGAATCCCCACATGTTCCAGGAGAAAAAGGAACAGCAGGCCCTCTTTGCATTAACTTCCATGCACAGAGGGCAAAGGGTTATCTGAAACTTCTCCTCACGACTCAGGAACTTGATTTTTAATGAATAAAATAACCTTTTGTTCAAAATGTTTGCCCTGTATACATGAAGAGCAATGTTCTCCTTGAATATGTGTCCCCCTGCTCTGCCACCTTGTCTTGCCTGAGAGTAAAATCTTACCACTTTCCATAATGCTGGAAGTTTTCTTCTATTTTTTATTTCACACTCAACCCTTCCTAAAACAGATTCTATCAGCAATCAACCCCTATTATGCTGAAACGAGCAGCAACATAAATATAGCACCAATAAAGTAAGGGAGAATTCCTTCTATTCTACCTATGGAATGTTTTTTCCACATTATACATCATCATCATCACCATCACCTGAACTGCAACTGCTCCTTCGGCTGCTTCCTTTTGATACAGCAGGAGACACAGAAGATAGAAGAGGGTCTATCCCAAGTGGCGATATTGCATCATCTAATAATATTTCCTCCAATCTCTGCTCTTTTAAGGCAGCACTAAAAGACAAGTCTGTAAAGTGGGAGAGTGGATCAGAAAAGGCTGCAGCTGGGTCACCTAGATCAGCATGTTGCTCGTGGGCCACAGTGAGATGTTGAATATAGTCTACTGAATTATCTTCTGGATATGCCTGTTGCCTCATGACACGGGATGCTAAGTCAACCACTCTTATTGAAGACATGATTGGTAGTCCATGGGCATGTGCTTGTATTTCTAGTTCCTGTGGTGTAAGACAAAATATTTGGAGAGCAGGGTTAAAAAAAATAATAATATGGGTTCCATGCATCACATTGCTACATCTGGTGCAGTTCTGAATTCTAATCTAATAGTATGCTTAAAATGTAACATACTAATGCAACTAGCCTAGTTCTCTTGTGTCTTTTTAAAGTCACATAAAGACTACATATGGTCTTATGATAAACCATGGGCTACTGGTATGACTTGGGAGTCTCAGACCCATGCAGAGATATGAATGCCAGGTTAAAGAACGAATCAGGAACCAAATCAAACAAAAAAATCCTTCAAGGCATTCTCCTTCTAAAAAATGGATAATTAATTATGAAATATTTCATAACATTTTATTTTGAAACAATATATAGGATGGTTAAAATGGTACATAAAGTGGTCAAGTTGCAAAAGAAATAGATCTATGTTTGGAAATCAAGATACCTGTTCAAGAAAGGGTATCAAAGCTCATCTTAGTGCAGAATCACCTTCGGTTTCCAAAAGTCCATAAAACAATAATATTATAATAAAATGTTATGTTATAATAAAATGATAATAAAATGATAAAAATAAAAGAAGAAATTAAAACTGTTAGGGGTTTTCAGATTCTGAAAAAGGAGATTCTTTATGCACTGCTTTGTGCCAAAATATATATTCTGAGCTTTTTCACAATTTTTCCTGAAAATCAGTGCTTTCTGAATCTAGAATATATAGCTTCTTTAAGCAGGCAAAATTGAAGAAATGCTCCATTTTTAGAGCTAAGCACTTTGCATATCCATTTACAGTAAAATACTTTCACTTTGATATCCCAAAAAAATTTGAATAAACAAGGAAGAAAGAAAGAAAGAAAGAAAGAAAGAAAGAAAGAAAGAAAGAAAGAAAGAAAGAAAGAAAGAAAGAAAGTCTATTTTATAAAGTTACGAAGTAACTAAATACCTGTAAGGAGTGCTAAAAATAAGTTGCATTTATTCCATTTTTCTCCAAAATTTTAAAAACAAAACAAAAAACATTTTTCTTCAGTTGCTTCAGAGTTTTCAGAAGTATTAAATACGTAGGCTTATCCTTTGTTCCTTGTGACAGGTAAGATTAGAAACCTTTGCTTTCATTTTTTAAGCTAACAAAACATTAGCATCATTCTGACATTGGCTATACCTTATAGCTGATTGAATTAAACCAGTTTTAAACATTTATCAGGTCTTGTTTCCATAACATAGGCATTTATTAAAAATTTATGTATGAATGTATGTTTCAATGTTTATAGACTACCCCAATTAGCAAGACTGTGGACATAATAAATATTGAAGTACTATAATGATGAAATAAACAAAATATTATCAGATGGTCTCCCAATTTTGCTTGTACAGTACATGCAATTCTGCTGGTAGAATGGATTCTTAATATTCTTCATGATTTGGGTGACCTCTGGAGAAGACTGGAATCAGATATGATACTGGGTAAATGAAGGAGAAAGAGTTCTAATGTATGAATAAAGAATTGTTGCTTAATGTAGCTGTTTAGCACGGTCTTTTAATTGTGGTGAAGCATTGATAGTATGGAGGCAATTGCCTGGGCCTAACTCATATAGGGTTCATCTCCAAAGAAATTAAATCATTTGAAATGATCGGGATCATATTTTCAATTCATATCAGAAAAACTAATCAGTTGAAGTATGATCCTAATAGTTATTCTTTAGAAATTCTCCACAAATTTCCACTAGCTGGGCTCTTGAGTTCAACACCCCAAAAATAATTAAAGTGGGGGACAGTGACTCAGGTGTACATTTTGTTCTGTGGCTCTCACAATTTTAAAATGCCCATGTTCTCAGATGTGGCACTGTGGTCGTTTTTATAAAAACAATGTCTGTTTGCGGTAAGCATCTATTTACAATCTTGTGCATATTCTAGCAAAAGTTAAGTATTTTCAAACCCTGTAATTTCAATGAGAGTTTTTCACTGCTATGGTTACATAGACTTGGAAGTCCTATTGATCTCACTGGAGTTTAATACTCTACTAACTTGCTAAGGTCACCATACCTTACAATACAGTCCTATACGTGTCTATTTAATTTCTGGTAAGACGACCATGGCAACTCACTGCTGAAATTTTGCCAAGAAGACTGCAGGGACTTGTCCACAATAGTGACTCAGAGAGTACCTATATCTATCTATATCTATATATCTATATCTATATCAACTATATTTATTTATAATCTTTTACTCTGTTTTTCAATCCAGTGTACCAGATGGACTAGAAGTGGAAAAGCCCAGATTCTAGTTGCCCTCAGTGATGGAAGCTCATTGGATGATTTTGGGCCACTGTCTCTCAGCCTACCCTACCCTACAGAGTTGCTATTGTGGGGACAAAGAGGAAAAACCTTGATCTCCTATACAAGGGCAGAATAGAAATCAAATAAATATATATGAATAATGCCTAGAGGTATAAAAATAAAAGCTCTTTAGTATCACTGATTTTGACTGAAGTGTCTACCTCTGAAAATGAAACAGGCCCAAGTACTTCCCCTTGAATGGGTTTTGCCTTTCACTAGGTACTTAGAAGTGAAGAGAAAATCCTGTCTCTAAACATTAATTATCCTACAATATTGAGGAATGCTATCTAGAACCTGCCTGGATATCTTACCCAATTAAAAATGCTGTAGATCATTTGCTGTCTATTATAGGAAGCTACCAGAAAATGATGTGCTACTTAATTTAATGTGCCACAATGTACCCCAAGGTAAAACAAGGTCAGGAACATTTTTCAAAGTGTAAAGCCCCATATTTTGAGTATCCAGTACAGATTTTTTCCCCTTCTCCAGTGTAAATATCTAGGTGTATGTGTTTTATAATCACTGAATACAGTTTGATGATGGAAAAGCTGTAGGAAAATCAGAGAGGGAGGGAGAGGTTGGCTTTGAACAGGCATTTTCCTCTACAAACCTGAATTCGAAGCAACAGTCGTCTATTAGCCTGTTCTAATTTCTTCTGTCTCTGTTCTAATTCCTGCGCTCTCTGTTGTTCTTTCTGTAACCACTTGATATACTCCACTGATGCCTTTAAAATAGTTCCTTTGTTCCAACGCATATCACTGTAGAAAGTAGTGATAACCTTTTCACAATTGTGCATGTCAGCAAAATTCATATAAATGTACAAAATCTTTTATATTAATATGAAATAATGATTTACATGACCATTACTCACTCTTAGATATTATTGCTTCTGAATGGAAATTTTAATAGAATAGTTAAAAAGCCCTTATATATTAAAATTAATCCCAGAATGAAAATAAGTGTCAAAAGAAAGTAATAAAGTGACTTCTTTGTGTAAGATCTAAATGCAGATTCATGATTCTACTTTTACAGTCTTTATATTTTTAGTAAAAATTGCTTTTGTTATTAACTCTAAGATTAAAATCTATGTTCAGTACATTAATGAACTAGGAAACATATATTACTGACAATTTAAGCTTAAATTTTTGAATATAATTTAAAATTTATAACTCTTCTCACCTGATTTCCTAATGAGTATGCTTTTATTCTTATTTGAATAAAAGGTTTTATCTAATTTTGATCTTCAGTGTTGATAATACACCAAAATCATAGTTAATTTTAGCAACTATTCCATATCACATTATGAAACCTGTATGTTTAAAACAAACTAAAACAAACTTTTCTATAATATAGTATATGAAAATAAATGCTTTGTATTCTTTGTACATCCACACTAATATGATTCATAACTGTCTTCAGTGTAATGGTGGTACCACATCAGTGTTATAGAACTGCAAATTAAGTAAACGGCCAAACAACACTGACTGCACACCCAACAATTCACACACACCAACATATACACAAACATACCCCATCTGGAAAATTATCAATGGAAAGCATTGTTCATTTTCTTTGACCATATTCTTCACATAGTGTTTTGTATACATCAACAACTATACATATCTTAATCAAAATAATACAGTACGATTGTAAATAAGTCAGCTTCTCTTTCAACTATGCCTGCATTTATAAGTTAAATCCAACATTACTTCATAATATTGATCTGGGTTTTGAAATTTAGTTAATTACTATATTGGAACTGTATTTCAAATTAAGGAAGACTCTTTATCCAGTTCTTCATTATACGTATGTGGAACAATAAGTTAAGTATTTTCAAACCCT